ACTAAGTCTGTCAAATTAAATTGGAAACAGTAACCAAACAGTGAGATACAGCTCCACACGAAGCTTGAAATCATCATTTCCGTTTATTTAATAGTATTTTTTTATTTATTTTGTGCCTTTTGTGTTGAATCCTAATGCATTGAGAGGAAAAAAAATCAGTATAAAATTAATTTTTACTGCAGGTGGGGAGAAAAGCCCAACTGGCCTTGGAATTTGATAGGTTTTCCCCCAGCCAAGTACTAACATGGATTAGAATCCCAACTGCCCTCTTGTGAAAGGAAAAAAAGAAGTCCGAGAGCAAATTTAACATTTTACAAACCATAAATTCCGAACTCTTCTACGCACATATTTTATCGCTATCACTTCATTTTCTGTGCCAACGAAGGGGAGGCCAAAAAAATCACAAGTACTCTTATCATTGCTTTGTAGCCATTCATGCTCCCCTCTTCCCCGGCATCGTTTGTGAGTTTATTTCCTAGGCAGCAAATGGGCTGTCCTCGATTTCCTCTCTCTTGACCCAGCCGGTGGAGGTGCTAATGACCGTCCCAGAGACGGGAGACCGAGCTGTGTGCAGGGCGGGGCCTGCCTTCGGCAGCAGCCCTGGCTTTTCTGAAGGAGGAGAGCTTTGTGGCCGGCGAGGGAGTCGACGGCTTTCCCTGCTTTCTATTTGGCCATTTACAATTCTAGACTTTTCCTACTACGGCGATCTTTGATTACTTCTTTGGAGGTAACACAATATTTTAGAGTCTTAAGAATTTGATTTCATACCAGTAAAAACTAGACGATAGGGATCTGCCCTTTAGTCTGTAGTTTTACTATTTTCCAAAGATCTCTGAATTTTACAAGAGAACCAACATTCCTTAGTGGCAAAACTTTGAACATTGATTTGGGAGGCTTTCTGCTGCAGGATCTCAAAAAACTGGGGATGATTCTAGTTAAATGTCTTTCATTTTTAAATGTCCATCGGGTCGATACTTAAGCTATATTTTGTAAAGAGTAAATCATCCTTTAATATGCTGCATATAAAGATCAGCGTTGTTGCACTTTGTCTGTAATAATAATGCCCTACAATTGGCTCGCTAGGAAGCATTTGTTTTTAACCTAACAAGAGTACTTTGGGGCAGGGGATTAAATTTATATAGGTACCTCGAGAAAAAGAACCTGAATATGCTGCATTTTGTTTCTTTAGCCTTTACATGTAGCATTTTGTTTTGCTTGTATTATTTAGGTGTATGCTTTTTGGACCCCCATAGACTATAGAAAGAAAATTTAAAGTTACTCTTGTAGGAATATGGTATCCTTTTTTTTTTTTTTTTTTAAACTTAGCTGCAATATCTGGTTAAAAAGGTTGCCCGACGTTAGAATAACGCTCTACCCAAACAGACCTGAGGCAAAGGATGCCGCGTTTATAACCAGACGAGGTTCCCAGTCCTTCCTGTTCATGCTGCTTCCTTGATTCTTTTCTCCATATCATCCAGAGGTAAGATAACTTCTTTCCTAAGTTCAAACTTTAGCAAGAATAATGGTATCTTAATGTTTTCAACACAGACCTCACAAAATTGCCATCTTGAATAAGTAGCATGATCCTAAAGGTATCGCTGATAGCAGACAGCCCAACCAATCTGGTGGCTCAGAGGAGCCGATCTTCCCCTCTCCATTGGCCAGCACTCGCCCTACCTGAACGGAGGGGGAGTGGTCTTGATTTGACAAAAGATAAACTGGTGAAGAAAGCTAAAGGCTGACACACTGAGCATCTACTGTCGTGTTTAAGCTTAGCTGGGTCCTTTCAACTTTGTTTTACAGCTTACTAGGTTAAGTAGTTTGCACTATTTTTGCAATAAATTCATGGAAACCCTAACAGTTACTTGTTTTGTTTCTTACTGTGTGTATATAAACTAATACTAAAGGTTTGGCATAGTGTTTTTTCACCTCCTTACATAACCCTTAACATGCACAGAATGCTGTAAATCTGATAAAATATGATGTGAATGATATTTTATAAAGTTATTTTGTATGGTGTCAATTTTGTTTTGCCTCATAGTATGTCAGCAAAAAATAAATAAAATTCCTCATATTTACAGCTGCCTCTTTCAAAGATCTTTAATTACTCACGTGTTTATTTGGGCGCTTCCTTCCACACAGGTTAAGATTCCAGGTTTCCAAAGTGGGAGCTCGGCCTTCAATGACAGAAGGCAAGAGCCGACTTCTACAACATTGGGCCTGTTCCTTGTATATTCAATAGAGCTAGGCACGCACTAGAGAACTTAGGGCTTGGGGGGTGAGAACCACAGGAATGAGCTGGCCAGGAGTGAGAAGAAGAGATGTGGTGCGGTGGAGGACAGCCTCCTCTTGCAGCCAGGGAGAAAGGATGACATATACAGCAGCTGACACCCGATAACGTGGAAAGCCCCATGTCTTGTGTCAAGCATAGGATTCAGAGCTGCCCACGTCTGGGGGTCTCGCCTGCTGGGTCACTGGCCCCCTCTGCCCGACAGGGTTTACATACCTTCACACTGCTCTGAAGTCCAGGCAGCCTCACTCTGATCCACTGTGTGTGCTGAATACCTGGCGCTGGGAAGGGCAAGGAAAGCTGCTGGGATGCACATTATTGTTGGAGCCGGCCAAGGTTTTATCCTAGCTTACAGCTACTTTCTGATTTGAGAAAGAATATTGTTCGTTACAGACAGAAAATTTGAAAATTTAGATAAACACGAAGAAAAATTATCTGTTATCACCACTGAAGGTACTCTTAACATTCTCGTATATTTTGTTCCTCACTCTTTTTGCAGGTACACAAGTTTTAACAGATTTGAGATTTTTTTTCAATGTATCTGGGAGACCCTGTACTTTAATTGTGGTAAAAATATATAGAACATTGGGCCCCGTCCTTCTTACTTCTTAGTATCCAAAACCACAAAACATCTTGGTGGCCCACTGGCCTTGTGGAATGCTAGTCGGAACTGGAAATACCTACAGGAACTGATGCGAGGTTGAGAGATGCTCACACTGATGGTGGGATCTGCAATATCCTCATTTGATAAGATCTTGATGTCTTATTGTTTCATTAACATTTGCTGGTCAGAGGCAGTGCATGAAAAGCGTTATATGAATTAGGAGAGGATTTCAGAGAATCAACAGCTCCCTAATTGGAAGGTGTACAGTGGGTGTTTATGCTTCATGTAGGATGAACAGACCAGCAGGAATGGAAAGTGAACGTAGGAAAAGTAGTGGGATATAAAGGAGACTGAGATCAGTGTCAAGGGACTTGGATGCCAAGTTAGGAACTGATCTCATCGACAACGGGAAGGCTCTGTACCCTGTTAAAAGCCACGTGGTAGGAGGAGAGTTCTCGTCTGGGACTTGCATCCCAGCCCCACCACTTCCTAGCTGCATCTTGCATTTGCTCCTTACCCTGGGCTTCCATTCCCTTTGTGAAAGGTAGAAACTTACTCTGCAAGTTGTAAGGATTTGATGAAAATGTACGCAATGCACAGAGAACAGCCCCCAGTGGCTATTAGAATATCATATCTTTAACATAATGACCAGGAGATTAATCTTGATAAAATTGTCTTGCTGATCTGATAGAAGTACAATGGAAAGAAAGACCATAAGATAGTGAGAAAACCAGTTTGGAAGCGACCAGAGCAGCCTAGCACATGGTCCAGGGAGGAACACGGATCAGAGCTCAGGGAACCATTGCATCGGAAGTGCTCGCGTGGCTCAAGGAGACTTCAACTTATCACCCACAACAACCAGCTAGGGTTTCTCCTTGGGATTTCTTAAACAGCATCCCATTACCGTCCGCAGAGATGCTGAGGCCAAGCATGGCACTGAAAGATACAGACACTAGAGATCTCTGTGACCTCGGGCCTGGCGAGGAGCTTCTCGGATACGACACAAAAAGCATGGTCCACAACAGAAAAATATAACTGATAAACCGGACTTCTTCAGAGAACGTCTACTCTTCAAAAAAAGCTGTTAGAACAAGACAAGCCACAGACTAGTTGCAAATCACATCTCAGCAAAGGACTTGTATTCAGAATACATAAAACTCTCAAAGCTCGGCAACAGAACAACCCAATAAAAAGATGGGCAAGATTGTGATGCTTCAGTACCAAAGGCGTACAGATGGCGACATCGTTAAAATGAGAGAGGCGCAAATTAAAACCTACGCCTACTAGAAGGGCTAAAATGTGAAAAAGAAAGAAAAATCAGATGCCAAGTGTTGCAGAGGACACAGGACTGGAGCCCCATATGGTGCTGGTGGGAAGGCAGAACGGTAGGGCAAGTTGGAAAAGTTTGGCGCTTCTTATAAACTTAAACATACAATTCCGCTCATAGGTGTTCACCCAGGTGAAGTGAAATCCTGTATTCACACAAAAACCTGTACTCAACCCAAGTAGGGAATTATCCATTTAACTGGAGAGTGAATAAACAAGTAGAGCCACACAAGGGAATGCTATTCAGTAGTAAGAAGGAATGACCACTGACAGACACGCAACACCACGGATGAAGCTCGGGTGCGTTATGCCGCGTATAAAGAAGCCAAACCCAAAGGCTACAGACTTGTGATTCCATTGCGATGCTATTCTGGAAAAGGCAGGGGTCGGGCGGTAAGCTAGGGTCTGCAGGCCAAATCCAGCCCACTGTGGTTTTGTATGGCCTGTGAGCTAAGGATAGTTTTTACATCTTTAAATGGTTGGAAAAAATCAAGAGTATTTCATGACGTGAAAGTTACACAAGATTCAAATTTCAGTGTCCAGAAGTAAAGTTTTGTTGGAACACAGCCACACTCATTCCTTTATCAATTGTCTACAGCTGCTTTTGTCCTGTGATGGCAGAGAGGAACAGTTGCAAAAGACACCACATAGGCCACAAAGCCTAAAACGTATACTATCCGGCCCCTTCCGGAAAATGTTTGTTGACTCCTGCTAAAGGGGCAGGGTGGGAGGGTTTGATTACAAACAGACAGCACAAGGAGCATCTGGAGGATGATGGAACTTCTCTGTACTGACAGTGGTGGTATAAAGAAAGAACAATGAGACATACATTCAACGTATGTTTAAAATGTTTTTAAGAAGAACGTGCTTGTAATAAGAAGCTTATGCAGAGGTAATACTTCTTTTTGTATTTGATAATTCTGACTTGGGATTTTTCTCTCGGAGTAGAAGTGTTACAAATGTATGTTTTTAAATCTTAAAAAGTTTTAGGTAGCAAGCACAGCACTACAGCAATAAAGGCCTTCAAAACTAGTTTCATAAAACATTTTAGTGTGAAAATATATACAGATTTTAACAAAAAAGTATATTCTTTTACAGTTAAAAAATGCAATGGTTGGACAAAGAGTAAACATTTTCTTGAAATATAAAAATTCAAATGTAACATACTACCCATAAACTACATATTTAGCTAAAACTGGATCTAGTTGGTTACAAGACCTAACTTCAAAATATACACATATGAATTTATACAGCTGATATTTAGAAACTCTTCAAAATCTATCTGTAAATTAAGACGTTGAGCAAAGTTGTTTTTGCCTCTGCAGCTCAGAGCTGTAGCAGACCAACGGGCAGCGCCGGACTCTGCAGGCAGCTCGTCTCAGTAACCCTCAACTGCAGTGTGGGCCTGAAAGACAGGCTGCTCTGGGGGTTACTGCCTGTTGGCTACTTATGGTGGAGCTGCGTTAGATGCTGTCTCAGCCAGGGGAGATGCCATCTCCTTGAAGGCTCTGAAATCTGAAGAGACTGAAGTCACGGAGCTGTGTTTGCTTCAAAGCGATGCTGTCCAGAAGGCCCCGCCAGGCTGATCTGTGATGTGTTTCCTCTTTGGTTTAGGATTCAGCTTCGTCATTGTCACCTTCATCACTCCCATTCTCTCCCTCCTCCTCGTCTTCTCTCTTCTCCTCTTTAAGCATTTTCAGGTATTTACTAGCTAAAATCTTCTTTGGTAATATATCTTAGAAACAGAAAACTTACATTAGCAATTGGTTATGACGGACCATGAACACATCGATGCAAATTTCAAATCAACTAGTTCCTGCTTTGACCTCTAGAATAGGTTCCAAAGACAAAATTCAGGTTATGCTTCTGGGTGAACTATCAGAGAATCTAGCGCAGCCTCCTGACTCATGCTAAAGACCGTTTCCACTGACTGCAAACCACATGCTGAGGAGGACCATGAGCTGCCTGACCTGAGAGCGGCCAGGCCACCCAAGGGCCAACTTAAGCTCTCCAGCTATGGCCCTGTTTCACTGAGGCCAAGTATTAGTCTCTCTGTTTCTGGGGCCCAGGAGAGCAGCCCTGAGTTTTCCCTTCAGGAGCAGGGTGGATCCTGAAGGGGTGGGTTGGTCGGGCTCACCTACCAGCCAGCTAAACATTCCTGTGCAGCTTTGTTGACTTCATTATTGTTCTAGGTGACCCACATTACAAAACATTCAAACAGAAAGAAAACTAAAAATGTCTTCCTGTGCCAGGTCATGGTAAACTTTGGCACCTGGGGAAAACAGCAAAGTATCTAGTTCAGGGAGAGCAGAACAGAAAACGCAGTAAATTACAGAGCATTTTTTACTTGGGATGTTTCAAAGTACCTGAAAGAAAATGAAAAGTTTCCGATTCCTCTGCAGTATTTGACAGGTCACTGTAAGTCAGTGCTCTCTTTTCTTTTCCACTGCCGTGTTTGTAGGAATAGGTGGCTAGATACTGAACAAAGAATTCCTAAAACAAAATGAAAAAGTACAATGAAAGCTAGGCTCTGAAAACTTAACACAGAACTTAATTTTTTAAATTACATTAAGTTTAGATGACTGCAGATAATCTTGGTCTCTCAAATTAAATTACAGGCACTCACTGGGGGAGAGGAACATGAGGTCATAAAGCAAGCAAGGCCATAGCAAAGTTGGTGGGAAACAGGCCTTTCCCAGAGGTTTATTTTAGATTTGTAACTTATGAAAAGTATTCACAAGTGATTAAAGGATGAGTCATAAATGTTTGATGACCACTGTCTACACTAAGAAAAACGAGAGACCATTCAAAAATTCTGTTAGGCTCAGGAACACATTTCTACTCTTCTATTGGAATGCATTGTTTCTAAGCAGGGCTTTGAACCGGTTCCGGTTTGAACCCCTACGAGAATCTGCCTTTCCACCCCAGATATACTGAATCAGAATTTACATTTTAACAAGATCCCCAGGGTGATTCTTACGTATAATAAACGTGGAGAACCACGGCTCTACTAGCACTAGCGGTTCTCAGAATTGGTCCCTAACCAGCAGCATTAACGTCACCTGGGAACTGGTCAGAAATGCAGATTCTCAGCAAGGTTTCTTACCAGAACACCAAGGGTCTGAAGCCCTGTTTCTAAGGTGCTCCACCTAGAACTATAATAACGTCCAGGATCTGAAGGTGAAAAGTGGCCACACTTCCCTGCTTGCCTCAACACCTTCTCTGCGTTGGGAAATGACACAGAATCCTCAGACGGACCTGGACTGAGCCTCTCTCCACGTTTTTATATTAAATCCATCTGGCTCAGTCAGTAACGGCTTAAAGAAGTGTCTTCCTTCTTTAATATCAACAGAATGAAACTACAGGAAAACAAACGCCCTGGTATCAATGCTGAATGTACAAATATGTTCCCGTGCTCTAAAAAACCATGGCTCAAGCATAAAGCAGGAAAGAAATGTGTGCTCTCCACTTCCTTGGCTGTAGTCCAACATGTTGTAGGGACGCTGTGTACTGTCAGTTTACACATGGCTCAGTCTCAGGAAACAAAGAGTTCTGGCCTACTGCTACAAAAACCAAAAACAAAAAAAAAACAAAAAACACCACCTATTTTGCATCTAACAAAGGGACAGTGCAAGTTATAAAACAGTTCCCTGGAATCACTTAAATTCCGACTCGGGGAGTCCTGCCCAGGAGAGGTGGGGTGACATTTGGCGCGGGCAGCTCGAGAACGGAGGGCTCCGCGGCTGCCCGGTTCCTCTCGAATTCAGGCGGAATGAACAGTTTAAACCAGCCACTCTTCATTTGCCTTCCCCCACCAGCACTGGAACTTCCGGATCCGCAGCCATGGCATTTGCGGGAGGCCCACCCCGAGAGCGGGGAAAGACGCCACCGCTCTCGGGACCCCAGAACCTCGAGACATAACGGAAGCAAAAAAAAAGGGAGGGTCGCGGCACCGGGCAACTGTGCGCGGGCTGAGGAAAAGGCCGGGGAAACTGAAGGAACTGGGGTAAGAGCGACGCAGGACGCCGCGCGGTGGGCGGGCGGGACCGGAAGACGCGCAAAGGAAGGCGGGAGCGACGCTGGTCGCGAGAAGCTCTGCATTGCGCAGTTAGTGGGCGCGCGGAAAAGGCGGGACGCAAGGGGCGGGGCGCTGCGAAATGGGCGGGACGGGAGGACGCGCGAAGGAGGGCCGGGGTGACGCTAGACGCGAAAAGCAGGGAACAGGGCGGTGAGTGCGTGCGAGAGGGACGTAGGGCGCGAAGGGCGGGGCGAGACGGGAGGGACGCTGGTCGCGAGAAACAAGGCGCTGCGAGGCGGGCGGGCGCGCGAGAAATCGCGGCAGTGACGCTGGCTGCGAGGGGCGGGGCGCTGCGCGGTGGGTGGGCGGACGCGAGAGACGCTGGGCGCAAGAGACAGAGCGAAGCGCATGTGGGCGGGGCTAGACGGCAGGAGGAACGCGGGACCCGCGATGCGCTGCGCGGGAGGGCGCGCGGACGGCGCGCACGCGCGAGCCCGCGCAGAGGAACGGCGGCGCGCGGGCCGAAGGGGACTGGGCAGTGCGGCGACGGCCCGGGGGGCGGGGCGCGACGGTTGAGGGCGGCCGCAACCCCGGCCCTCACTTACTCCTCCCCCTGCCTCACCGTGGCCTTGGCCGTGAGCACCAGCGCCTCCTGGTTAATGCTGGACACCTCGGGGGAGCTCTTCATGATGACCCGGATGCGGGACAGGGGCAACGACACCAGCCGCTGCTCCCCGCCCTTTTCTTTGCCGACGACCACCTCCGCCATCTCTCCACCCCCTGCCCCGCGGGCGGCAGCCGCGGCGGGCCCAACCGCGAGCACGCCGCAGCTGACTCCCACCGCGAGGCGACCGGCAAACAAAGTTGGTCCCGGGAAGCCAGAGTCCCGCTGCCCCGTGGGAGTTGTAGTGTTCAGAGGCGCGGCCGCGAGCTGGGGCGGCCCTTCCGAGGGGGACTACCGGCCCCGTGATGTCTTGCGCGCGCGGCGCCTCAGCGCAGGCGCGAGAACTCATGCGTCACTGATGCGCGTCGACACCGCTCACGTCAGCCGGCACTCGCCCTGAGAGCCCACCGTCTTCCGAGTCCTTTTTTCTTCACACGAGGCCGTAAAGAGTGGTGGGAAGGGTGTGTCACCTCGGAGCGAGCGCCCGCCGTATGCCAAGCTCTGAGCTAGGCGCCAGGAATACTGGGGCCAGCCCAGTGCCTGACCCCGAGCAGTTCGCTGTCAGCGCAGCGGGAAGGCAGACCCTGAGCTGGGGTCCAGTGTAGTAGGGTCAGGGGTAAAATCCAGGAAATCCAAGGGCAGGTCGGGGTGCTGCACAGGAAACGTGGCAGCGGAACCCGATTTAAAACAGTAGGTAAGAGGTCCACTAATAGGTGCCTAATCTGTGCTAAGACTGGGACTTTTACAGTGAACAAAAAGTAACGCTTTCCTGAAGCTTGCATTCTAGAGTGGAAAACGGGAAAAAAGTAAAAGCAAATATACTGTCTGGTAGTTGTAAATGCCATGAAGGAAAATAAAGCAGTGTAAGAAAATGTAGATTAATGGAGTAGTTTTTTAACCAGGTGACAGGGAAGGGGACGGGGCAGTGAAGCAAGAAAGCGAGCTCTATTGATGTCTGAAGAAGCTCTTTGTGGGAGAGAGAACAGCAAATGCAAAGGCCTTGAGGCGAGCTTTCTTAACCTTTTAGGGAATGTCTTAGTCATCTAGTGCTGCTATAACAGAAATACCACAAGTGGATGGCTTTAACAAAGAGAAATCTATTCTCTCTGAGTCTAGTACGCTACAAGTCCAAATTCAGGGCGTCAGCTCCAGGGGAAGGCTTTGTCTGTTGGCTCCTGAGGAAGGTCCTCGTCATCAGTCTTCCTTTGGTCTGGGAGCATCTCAGTGCAGGAACCTCAGGTCCAAAGGACACGCTCTGCTCTCGGCACTGCTTTCTTGATGGTATGAGGTCCCCGTGTCTCTCTGGACCCTTCTCTCTTTTATATCTCAAAAGGGGTTGGCTTAAGACACTAATCTTGTAGATCTCATCAATATAACTGCCACTGATTCATCTCATTACATCATAAGTAATAGGATTTACAACACATAGGGAAATCACATCAGATGACAAAATGAAAGACAATCGTACAATACTGGTAATCATGACATAGCAAAGTTGACATATTTTGGGGGGACACAATTCAATCCATGACAGGGAAGCTCAAAGAGCCCACTGTGTGGAGCCAGGTGTGCTAGAGGAGGTCAGAGGTAGCTAGGGGTTAGATCTTGTTGGATTTTTCGAGAGCCACGTGTTAACTTTCCATTGTCTATCAAAAACTCAAGTGCTATATAGAGCAAACAGTTGCATCTTCAGCCTTGAGTTGAGGCTAAAGAAGTGGATTTAGGAAGTGCTATCTGGTGGGTTTTCGACTCCGCGTCTCCGTGTGAAAGAGGAGAACTGCCCCATATGGTTTCCTAGGCTATAATCTTGATGGGAGCGGATTGCCAGGTCTTTCTCCCATGGAGCAGCTGGGTGGGTTCAAATCACCAGCCTTTTGGTTAACAGCTAAGCACTTAACCATAGAGCCACCAGGTGGTAGTTAAAGCCATGAGTCTGGATGGAGGTTTGGAGGAGAGTATGGCTAGAGAAGAAAGAGGTCTGAGGACTAGAGAACTCCACCATTTCAAGATTGGGTTGTTGTTGTTAGGTGCTGTCGAGTCGGTTCCGACTCATAGAGACCCTATTATAGGACACAGTAGAACTGCCCTATAGGGTTTCCAAGGAGCAGCTGGTGGATTTGAACTGCTGACCTTTTGGTTAGCAGCCGAACTCTTAACCACTGCCACCAGGGCTCCATCTCTCCATCATAGGATGAGCAAATCGACAAGTTGAGTGAAGAGGAATCCACGCTCTTCCAATTATGATATGTATAACTTAGATTACAGCACGTGATAATTGGGAAGAGAAGGAAAATCCAGCACAGGAGGATGGGAAGAAGTGGCCGTTGAATTCGTGGAAAACCAAGAGATTGTGATGTCCGTAAAGCCACAGGAGGACAGTGTTTCTGAAAGGAGAAACTGAAGAGCTGGGTCGAGTGCTGCTGAGAGGGCAGCCCAGGCCGGACCTCACACATCCTCCAGACTAACGCCATTTGTAACACTAGAAGTCTTCCTATCCCACTCGGCGCTAATGACCTGCTGGGTACTACAGCACTAGAAGGTGAAGGCCAGCAAGTGCAGGGACAGTGCCTTCAGCACTGTGACCCTGGGTCTGGCCCAAACATTGAACATGGGATAGATGCTAGGTACTGCTAGGTGCAAGGACTGCAGCTGGTAAGCAAGACAGCCATGGTCCATGCGCTCATAGAGCTTACTTTCCAGGACTCCACACGCCTGCCTGTGTGGAGTGGACCTAGGGGTTTGCTTCATCTCCGACGATGAGTGTTGGGAAGCAGACAAACCAGCAGGAGGGTGAAGAGGTAGCAGGTGGCTGGGATGGGGGCACTGGCTGCTAGACATCTGTCAAGGAAGGTTTTTCTGAAGAAGTTACCTTTGAGCCGAGACCCTAGTAGTGAAAAGGAACTGGCCTTCCAAGATAGAGGAGTGGGAGTATATTCCCAGTAAGTGAAGTCACCACTGGAAAGGTCCTGAAAGCAGGTGAGCCCACCAGGGCCCCTGTTTTGAGAAGTAGGAAGAGACAAAGAAGCAAATCTGCAGACTGGAAAGGAAGAAAATGTTCTTTTTTTTTTTTTTTTTTAAAAGAAACAAGCTTCAAACCTAAGACAGTAGGAGAATGAAAGAATATAATCCTGGGAAACTTGCCTGTCCTGGAAAAAGCACACTGATTGAGTGTATCATTCTGTTGTCAGTTCTGTTATCCATAAGCTCACTTTATCTTCACAACACCCCAGGAGGTGTTGTGTTTTGCACCAATCTCATCCTTCCATGCTCCACTCTCTGTCTGTATCCCAGGATGCTAGAAGCTGTTAGCTACCCTTCCCAGAATCCCTTGCCAGTGGCTTCTGGTTGGGTTCTGCCAGTGGAAGGCACTGGTGAGAGACTAGGGAAGGAAGGAAGAAACATTGTTCATCTGCTTCCCTGGAGACATTAGCAGCAGGGTGGCGACTGCAAGGGGTTTTCAGGGAGCGCCACCAGCATGGGTAGGGGTTTGAGCAGCTGCTTTGAGGATGAGCCCCTGGGTTTCTGCTCAGTAGCTGCAGCACCTCCAGAAGCTCAGCGGCAAGTGTGGACTCCAGATACAGCAGCCACCCCCTGAAAGGGTAGAATCTCCTCCCTTTTGCTCAAAAGCACCATCCCCTTCTCCCTCAAGCTCCTCCTGCTCTTCCAACATCCTTGTAGCCAGTTCTTGGCATTATTAAACCTCTCTCAGCAATGTCTAGAGAACGGTCTGCTTTTCCCGTTGAACACTGAAGCATATGTACTTGGTCCTGGGAGTGGTCCTAGCAAACAGACCCACAAAAATAGGAATCTGGGAACATGGTGCTGGCACATAGAGGTGGCCTCGCTGACAACATCCCCTGGCGAAGCACTTACTAAATCATTACCTGTCATTGCCTGGAATGGAGTGCCTGGTGAAGGCAAGGCTGCTGCATGTGACCGTCGTGGTGGGAAGGGCATGTGGGATGGCTGGCTGCTTCTGATTGCATTGGAGAGATTTCCCAAAGATAATTAAAAGCTCAGGGCTTTAAACTCTCAGGTCAAACGTGATCAGAGAATCAGCTCCTAGATTTAAAAAAAAAAAACAAAAAAACAACAACTTCCCTTCGTGTTGATTCCGACTCATAGTGACCCTACAGGACAGAGTAGAACTGCCCCATATGGTTTCCAAGGAGTGGCCTGAGCTCTTAACCACTGTGCCATTTAGGTCTCCAGTTCCTAGATAGCCATGAGAAATTTTTATAGCCTCAGGGCTGATACAGTAGAAGGTCAGACTAAACCTTTGATCTACCTGATGTATAATTGTAAGTTGAATTCATAGCTTTACCCTAGGTCTTTATGTGAAGTTAGGTTATTGAGTGGGAAGAGTGGGTCCCTAAGAGTTAGAATGGGGATAAAAAATAAAAAAACATTGCCCTCGAGTTGATTCTGACTCATAGTGACCCTACAGGACAGAGTAGAACTGCCCCCATAGAGTTTCCAAGGAGTGGCTGCTGGATTCGAACTGCCAACCTTTTGGTTAGCAGCCGAATGCTTAACCACTGTGCCACCAGGGCTCCAGAATGGGGATAGCTGGGGGGATACAGACAAATCTGAGACCCTTTAAACCCCCAATCCCTCTGAGCCTCTTTGTCAGTGAAGTGGCCTCTCCTCCCCATCTGAGATTGTTGCTGTTAGTTGCTTGCACTCATGATGACCTTATATAAAAGGGAGTGAAACAATCTTCATGATAGTTGGTATGTTTGCGTCCATTGTTGTGGCCATTGCGTCAACCCATCTCCTTGAGGATTTAGCTCCTTTTCGCTGACTTGCCTGCCTTTACTTGAAGTCCTGTTAATGACCTCACGTGGGACGTTATCTGGTAAGGGGATGCTGAGTCTTCTGAAGACCTGCCGCTTGCTAACTTCTCGTTTGTAATTTGAGCCTTGTCCCAGCCTGCCGACTTGGGAGGAAACGTTTACACACTGGAAGAAGGATATCTGACCATTTTATCAGCAGAAACCTGGAGAAAATATAGGGAACGCATTCCACTGGTGCAGTCTCGATGGACAGAGAACGAGGTCGGATCAGCTGAACTGACCATGTGGCTGATTTACCAGACAGAGATCCTGGATGTGGTGTGTTAGCACCGGCAGCAGGAGTGAGCTCCGACGGTGGCCTAGCTCAGCTGGTGTACTGCGTGGGTGGCTTTCTTTGCCTTTAGTGGCAATACTGCCACGTGTGAGTGTGCCATTC